GAGGTCTCCGGATTCATTGATGGGGTTCCCCTTTTTCGAGCGTCGCGTGAAAAGGGTTGAATCCTCCTCGGACTCGTCTCCCTTCCTCCGCCTTGACAGCCCTCGCCGGAGGTCGTTCAGGGCTAAAGCCTTGCCTTCCTGGAATAGTCGTCGAGGGGGTGCTCATTGGCTCTTGGGCGTTTCGGGGTCCTGGAGCCTTCAGCCTTGTTATTTAAATGATTCCTCAAGTCCTCAGTTTCTGCTTCTCAGGCGGGGAGTCCACGAGAAGGGAACGAGTCCCTCGACCCTTCACCGAAGGCGGCGAATTCGTTGAGCCAGCTTAGGATGCTCACATTGTCTTTTTTCAACTGTCGTAATCGATCCCTAAACTTTTCTTCGATCACCTCCGCCAGTTGACGAGCCAAGGGGGCGGATTCTCCTGACCTGATGCCCATACTAGTTTGAGGAGTAAGCCCCCTTGACTGAATAGAGACATTTCTGTTGTCATCAGCGTGACCCTTCCCTCCATCATGACGAGGAGCCTGCAAATCGAGACTTCTTTGCTGGGGACCTTTCCCCTTCTGTCGAATATTCACCATGGTCACTGTCCTTTTTAGAGAAAAAACTAGAAAAACTAGTCGTTTCTCACAGACGGTGCCAGATTGTGCGTGCAGGATCTTGTATAATATAAACACGAGAACAGATCTCTCCCGTGGTGAACTCGAGTCAGTCAATCGAATGGTCAACCTTGCTGTTTGGAACAGACTGTGAGGTCCGGTGGTGGCCTGGAACGGTAATGGGTGACTTTTGTGGATCAACGGAGCGGTGCAGTAAGGCTAAGGGAGGTTCCTGGAACAGAGAAAAATGAGTTAGGAGGGCGCCGAAATGTTCTCTGACGTATCCCTTCCGACGATCAAGTCAATTTTTTGAGAGAGGGGAAGGAGAAAACACTATGTATCTCTTTGAGAAAAGGTCTTTTGTTGCATACCGTCTTGCCTTTTATGAGGAGTATTTATACCTTAAAAACTCATGATTGCTGTCAATTTGGTCAGTAGGTGATCATTAGATACGGGTAACGTGTACACTAATTCCTATGCGGAATGTCTTCTCTCTTAACTGCTCGGGACCCCCAGCAACCAATGTTTCGTCATCGACCTGCCGAGTGTTTAATGAGTTTCTCTCGGCAAGGATGTAATAAATGCCCAGTCATAGGGACATTTATTACCTTTCACTTTTGAACTTTCCTGCATTAAATGCTGTCTCATCAAGGGAATGATGCACTAAATGCTTGCTTTCCCAAGTTGTGTGTCAGCAAGGGCATCTCGGTCTATTTGTCTCTAATCTAACAGAATATGTCACGCGCCCATTCTCCATTGGTTGTGTCATCTGTCTTCTTGTGCCTTCTGACACCAATTGTGTAAGACGAGGTCATGATGGCTAACCTAGCCTAATCTAGGCTAGTGACCTGTACATTAATAGCCTCTGCAGGAGCAGAAAACGCCAACCTGAATGGATACATCTCGGTACCGAGGGAGTGGTACATGTATGGACCGATGTACCCCATATTCAACCGAGGGATACGTGTCGGTACGCAACGTAATGGGTGTCGTTAATCCCTATGAACAGTACCTTGGGGGAAGAGGGACTTATGAACCAACGAGTACGTGTTGTGATCACAATAACAAGAATATACTGATGCCGAGGACACGTGTCTTCATCTTAGAGTATTTGAAAATGTCCCATCAAGTTTCACTCAATCTACGAGCATCAGGGGTCGGTGATTAAACCTTGCAGCCAACATGAAACAACAACAGCAGCAAATAGAACTAGCATGATACTAAATTATTGGAGTGGATATGTCTGTGCCACACATTTTATAATCCTGATAAAGCATATAGTCACTGATGATAGGGTAGAATGACTGAAAAAAGATTCATGTAATATATTTCGACTATTAGAACATAGCTTTATTTTCTTTCTTTTTTTGGTGATAAAAATAGTTTTATTGAGTATTTCTTGTTTTTAGAATTGTAGAAATTAGTAATTACCGGCCTAACTAAGTCATCAAATGAGATCAAGTTATATCTCAATATGTTGAAGTTGCAGAATTATAATAAATAATATATCAATGTAATGTTTTAGTCCGTAAATATAAGTTCAATGTATCGACATGAACGGCATATCACCAATAATTTCACCAATAATTTCAATAGTGTTGGGACCGGGTTGTTTGTGTAAGTGGATAGATGCATGACAGGAGTGAGATTTAGGTTCAGTCAAGAGTCACGTCCAAAGTTTTGCCATCATCAAGCACTACCACAAATTAAAAAAAAAAAAATAGTTCTCTCAGCTTGAACCACTTGTTCATGTTGCGTGCTATCCCCCCACCCCCCACAAAAAAAAAAAAAAAAAAGAAAAAGAGAGTTTTATCCTCCATTAAGGTTGATGCATGACAGGAGTGAGTTTTGGTCCAGTCAAGAGTCACGACCAAAGTTACTTGTTCAAAACGCAATAAACTTGAGTTCGACCGATGGACGTAGTTTGTCAATGACCCATGTAGAATAGGTGGCAACAGATTATTTAAGATAAGTTGATTATCGTGTCTTTAAAATATAATGAAAAGTCAAAAAATAATAATAAAAATAAAATATGTCAGACTTGAAATTTCATGTATTACTGTATTTAATTTGAATTGGGCCAACAATCGAGGCTTATCACTTTATTATGAACTCTACAGTTTTGTATCAAAGTTTATCGTTTAGGCCATCAAACTCATATTTTTGTTGTCTTATGAAAGATTTCAAATTAATAATAAATAGGAAATTCTAAATTCAACATTGTTATTTTTGTTAGAATCCAGACGACATATACTTTTATGCTAATTAAAAAAATTGCATATTTTCATTGTTTATATTTTTTATAATTTGTATTGCTCTTTTGTACTACGGATTATTAATTTAATAATATTATATTTCAGAATTTTTTCTATTTTCTTTTTGAATTCAGAGTTTTATTTTAGTTCGATATTAATCCTAGTATTCTTTATGTTTCTTGTTCCACTTGATTGTATATATAGTTTGTTTACTCTTGAAAATACAAAAAACCACATGGTCGGGGCAAGCAAAAAAAAAGGGGGGGTTTTGTGAGCTAGTTCATAATTTGTCACTTAATTGTGAAAAAATATTCAGTACAAAATATTTTGTATAGATATACCTTTTTTTTTATGACAGAAATACCAATAAGGTAACAATTTTGATAAATAAACTATCATAAATTATGAAACAATTCCATTAAATTTGGCAACTATTATATCCCTCAAAACATGAATTTTCAAATTTAAAAAAAACATTAGCTACAAAATCCTTCAATTTTCAATCAAAAGAAATCACAAACGTTGAAGTATCATTGAAGATCGATCTTTCTTTTGTTTCGATTCAGATTATCGATAATGTAATATTACAGTGATATATAACAGTGTAACTCTTCATTAACATTTTAATTACTGACAAAAAAATTGTGAAATTACATTCACTAATTCATACACAATCTAAATAATATGAATCATATAATGTGACATCTATATATATTATTTTTAATAAATGATAGTGTTACATTACAGTAAAATATTATAAAGTGACACTATTATTAGATTTGAAAACAATTAGAGCCGTTTAATATTAAAAAATAATATAACAAATATGGGCCAAGCCGTTAAGGTATATTCCATGTGGTATAATTTTAAATTTTAAATATGTTCAATTCCTTAAAATATGAAACCATTAATATAATAAATCATATCATATTAAAAATGGGATTACCAAACTAACAGACCTTCAAATAAGAAAAATTGTATTTTAGTGAAGAAAATATTTGAAAAAGCAATGTTTTATGAACTTAAAAAGTAAACTTGAAAAGAGTAATGCTACATAAACTTAAAAATTAGATTTAATAATTATAACTATTGAGTATCTAACTACAATATATTTCAAGTCAAAGATATTTATTTACAAAAGATTTTAGTCATGATATTTTTTCACAATTAAATAGTTTAAAAGGTACTTACTCACAATTTTCCTCAAAATAAATGAGCAAATGCTTGGGCCCATATTACTTACTTCCCTTTTTGGGATTTGATTACGATATAGCCAAAAAAAAAATCGGTACCATATTTCAAAATTTTACTATTTTAAAAGGTATTTTTATAACTTTTATGTATCATTTTACAATCAAAAAATTTATCACTATTGTGATTGATTTATCACTTTTGTGAAATACATTCTTAGTAACTTTTTTTATCACTTTTATAAGTGATTTCCAATATTTGTTGGTGTTTGTCTCATATTTATGAATATTTTTGTCATTTTTGTGATAACTATTTTTACTATTTTTTAGATATCATAAATATGATAAATTTTGGTATCATACTGAAATTTTGAATTTTGGTACCATAGCTACGTCCCCCTTCTTAGCCAAAATACTCTAGTATTATCAATGAAATGTGACGTGGCAAATACAAATCAATTATTATATATAAAAAGGTCTGTCTATGATATCGAAAATATTTTTTTTTGTACAGCACCGCTAAATGAAGAAAGGCCATTGATCCATCACAAATCTTTTACAACTGTTGATAAGATATCTAACTTTTTACCTATTACCCACTAAAGCGATTACTAATACGTGGTGAGAGAAAAACACTCACACAATTTTTTTTAAAAAAAGAAAAGACTTCTACAAAATCCATTTAGTTAGGGATGACAGTGGATCGGGGGCAGGGGTAGGGGTATAGTCTCTACTTTTATACCCGCTTAAAAAAATTCTGTTCATCTCCGCTAATGAAAAAAATTTAATCCTCGTCCCGACCCGCAGGTAAATTCTAATTTTCACCCCGCCTCCGACACCTGTTTCCCCAGTAGGACTCTTAATATTCAAGCAACAAACCAAATTTAAAAGCAAAAATCAAGTAACAAACTAGATCCAAAGCAATAATCAAGATAATATCATAGTCGTACAATAACCAGATCCGAAGCAATAATAGAGAGCAAAATACAAAAAAAAAAAAAAATTATCAAAAGCCAAATATGTAAAAGATGCCACCTTCAAATATGTTTGGATCTAATCCAAATAGACCAAATCTGTGGATTCCACATTCAAATATGTGGATTTTTCACTAGAGAAGACGAACTCAAGTTGCTGCAGATATCGAAGGTGAGGTATTTTCAAGTGAAAAGGGGTTTTCTAGGATGGATGGTTTTCAAGTGAGTGGTTTAGAGGGTCATTTATGAGTTTAGGAGAGAGAAAGAAGAACATGGTGAGATCATTGGTGGCGATTACTATGGAAGGAGTTAGTTTCTGGGATGGGAGGTTTTCGGGTGGGGTTTTGGAGGGTTGGGTTTGCAAGAGAGATGAAGACAAATACGGTGGTGCTAGGGTAAGAAAAGAAGAAACTAAAAGAAAAGAAAATAAAGGGTTATTTTAAATTCGATATACCTAATTAAACTTATTTGACAAAAAGTATATAGAACAAAATATGAGTTAAAAAGACTTAAATGTCCATTTTAGGGTCATTTAATTCAAAATCTCTTATCTTTAATGTACCTTGATTCATGTGTGTTTGTTAATATATATAAATACGTATTTAATGCATCTTGATTCATGTGTATTTGTTAATATATATATATATATATATATATATATATATATATATATATATATATGTGTGTGTGTGTGTGTGTGTGTATATATGTGTGTGTGTGTGTATTTATATATATGTATATACAAATATATATACTTATTTATACACACACACAAACACACACACACACATATATATATTTGTTGTTAAATCTCTTATTTAAATTTTGAATTATCTTTAATGCACCTTGATTCATGCGTATTTTTTTTGTTTGAAAAATAATTTTATTTTCAAATTATATTTAATGCACCTCTCGATTCAAGCATTTTTTTTTTGGAAAATAGTTTTATTTTAAAATTAATTTAATATCCGAATAATTTAATAGTATAACAATAACAGTGTAACAAAAACATTGTAACAAAAACAGTGTTTAGTAGTTTTGTATATATGGTAACAAATTCAAAACGAAGATGGACTATTTTGAATGAAATCATATGAAACTATATATTTGACAAAATGTAATAGTACAATATTTTGTGTAAATGACTTATTACACTATTATTGTTACACCTTTATTATTACACTGTTATTATTATACTATTACACTATTCAGATATTAAATTAATTTGAAAATAAAACCACTTTCTAAAAAATAAATGCATGAATCAAGGTACATTGAAAGATAATTCAAAATTTAAATAAGATATTTAACAACAAGTATATACATGTATACATACACAAGTATTTATATATATATATATATATCTATATATATATGCACCACTTTTCAAAAAAAAGTGGTGCATTAAATACAAATGAATTAATGAAGAGCAAAAATATCACAATAAAAATAGATAAATTCAAATTATGTACTTTGATATAAATAAATATCAAAATTAAGTACTTAATAACCCTACATTTTTTAGTGTGTACTTTTTGTCAAATAAGTCTAATTTGATGTATCATCTTATAATTTACCCTAAAATAAAATAAAAGAATAGAAACAAAAAAATAAATGGAAAGTGGGCCAGTCAGGTGAGGGAGAGGGGTCCATTCCCACTTTTATGGGGATGGGGCAGGGATGAATGTCAGTCCATTCCCACTTATATTCTCGCACGGATTTATACGGGTATTTTCATATACATCTATCGTCTAATACATATAATTCATCTCAAGTTTAAACATGACGAATTTAAACTAATATCAATTTTTTTTTGTTCACTGTCATCCCTACATTTAGCTGAGGANAAAAAAAGTGGCAACTTATTCTCAAAAGATGGTAAACTATATTGTAATTTATCTTAAAATAGTGGTTCCTTACTCTTAAAAAGTAGTAACATTATCCTAAAATGTGATAACTTTACCCAAATAAATGCTAACTTTATACCAAAAAATGTGTTCACATTTATTTAAAATGTGCCAACCTTAACTTGAAAGTGTTAACTTTGACAAGCTAACCTTTCTCTCCAAAAGTAATAATCTAACCCAAATGTTAACTTCCCGCCCAATAGTGGTAAGTCACCCCAAAAAGGTGATAAATTATTCCTAATTTCCTCTAAAAAATTGGTGAACTTATTCAAAAAGGTGGTGAACTCACTCAGAAAATGATAATCTCTCAGTAATATTTTTAACCTCAACTAAAAAATGCTATATTTAAAGTCATTCAAAAACTCCAAATATTGTATTTTTTTTTCTTATATTTATATTTATTTCATATCCTGTTTAAATAATATTTTGAGAAAAATAATTATAATTTTTTAAAATTAATTTTAATTTTAATTTTAATTATCAATTTATATTTTTAAAATATATACCGGTGACACCAGTTTTGAGGTGTGCATGTGACAAGCAAACAAACATTTTACTTTTGTATCATATCGAAAAGTAAAAAGGGGTACTAAAGCGAAGTGGAATATAAAAAAAGCGTGTACATCTTTAAACGAGATGTAGTAAGATACTGACCCAAGTTACCTAAAATCTCCGCGAAAACATCAATAAAAAAAATAAAAAAATCATTTGAAACATGAGTTAGATGATACTTTCAGCCTCCGGCCCCAAATTTTTTTTTTTTTTTTTTTTTTTATTTTAACAGAGAGAGGTATTCGAGTTAATTTACGTGTATTTCGACTTATTTTTTCTCTAATTCGGTTAAAAACAAGTCATCCACATCAAAACTAAAGAATTTATGAAAGATAAATCTCTTATGGTCTGACTCCAAAAAATTGTTAAAATTTAAATTCGGAACATCTAAATTTATAATTCATCTCAATTAACACTCGAACTACTATTGAGATAACCCCAAATCCATATGTTATACGCAATCAATTATATTGGTGAATTTTGGTATCTTTGGTGCATTTGTTGGTGTAATGCTAGCCACATTATTATGTCCATTTAAATTGTTGCTTCTTGTGTTTTGTACCTAAAAAATGTTGGCTTCTCTATCAAGTAGAGTTTGGGATTTTATGTTATCCTAAGTTAGCTCCTTCTTGGTGTTATTTGGGGGTTCGACTCTTCTCCATTTTTTTAAGAATTTGAAGAGCTTTCAATTCTCGTATTCTTTTAGTTGATTCAAAAAGTTTTTTAAATTTAAAATATTCAAAATCTATTAAATCTATTAGTGAGTACAAATTTTAATTATTAAAAAGTGACTTGAAGAATCCTCTAATTCTTATATAACTAGAGGGAAGTCAAACCCGTTATTTTGATGGTGCATTTCTAGATTCGTGGGTAACCTAAAAATAGTTTTGAAGAAATTTTTGTCAATCCTCTCTAACTTTCCTTCAATATCCGAAAATATTATTGCATACTACTAAACACCTTTGCATTTAATCAACGTTAAAAATAGGGACTATCGTGTCAAAGTCAAGTCACACGAGTTTAATAATATTATAATTCATTTATTTTTCGAGTTATTCTATTTCTAAATCCGTGTCAAGAGCTGTCACATCACTTTTGTTGTGGCTAATTTAATTTGAATTTTGAGGACTTGCGGGCTGTTATTATTAGGCCACATCACCAAATCAGGCCTTGTGGGTCTGATTTGGAGAAACAACCAGAAAGTCCAAGTGATAAGTGCAATGCAATATGGGTCTGCTTGCCCACTGAATGGGCCAAGACAACCTTCCAAATGGATCAAGAAAACGGGCTGCGGCCTACAGAGGGCACAAGGTTGTGAAGAAGATATCCACATATATAAAAGTTAAAAATGCAAAGAAAAATAGGATTTCATTGATAAAAATAACGCTGTGAAAAACAGGACAAAGTTTCTCTACAATGACGCTCTAGTCCAATTGACAGAGGTGAGACAATACAACACATTTTCTCATTATCTTTCAAGACAATAGGAATTTAACTTTAATTTATTTGTTGTATATAAATGAGTTCTTCATCGATATACATGGGTGATCTAAAATTAAAAAAAGTAACGGCAAAAATAATATATGGGATCTCTTCAATGTATATCTATATACTAATTTACGGGTGGTCTAATGGTTGGGTCTGTTCTATAATAATTTAGAGGTTTTGATTTAATTCATTTTCACACTCGCCTGAGGACTAGCCGTCTTTGTCCTTTTGGGGATATACTTTAATCAGTTCTAATTACAATAGTCAGCCGTTGAGTCCAAAAAAATAATCGACTCAAGTCTGAATACCCTATAACCCTAAAAAAAAAAAATGAAAGGTAGATGGAGCCCTATATACATGCACAAACTTGTGCATGTTCAAATGTTTGGGCATGCTGCTTTAAACAACCCATATGGGGCAGAAGTTCCACCCCACTCCTCCAGTCTCAACTATTCCTTGGGCCCCCTATGCCATAACTTACAGATCACGAGTTAGCGGGGTCGTTAGGCTTCTCACTGGGTATTTGACTCACTTAACCAACCACTCATGTCGCATATAGCTTGGCTACATTAACCTATATTCATCATAAAAATAACTTTGATCTCAAATCGAGAGATTCCGTATACTCAGAGTCATACTCATTTCATTCTCATGTTTCATTTTCGCCTATTAAACACAGTGTTCTGCATAGTTTGCAAATGATTACGTGTTTTCCGAGTTTATGTCACAATCTTGAGTCCAAAAAATACATGATTCAACAATTTTTATTTTTTTTTAAAACAATGTATAGATTATATATAGAATATTATTTACCTTCATGGGTGCATGCTAAGAGCCAGACATCTCCCTGGATTAATTCTCCAAAGCTTCATCCCACAAAAAGGCAGGGACGAAGACAATCTAAGTGGGGTAAGATAAGCTTTGCTTTTTACAAAGTCGGTGCCTTGCTTATCCTCTAATCTAATGAAATCGAAGAAGATTATTAGATAACATGTGGTTCTGACTAGACTTTTAGTGTCGTATACAGAAATTATTTCCATTTCACCAAGTCTTAGCATTCTACATGCCCATTATTGTCGAAGCATACTATCACCACTTTCTCAACCCACATGATTTTGTGAAAAAGAACATGTAACCGTAGGTAGTTTAATGCTTATCAATCACATGTAGTTAGGGAAAACAACTAAATCTGAGTTGTCTCAATAAAGATGTTGATCGAACCAAGATTGTCAAGTTCAAATATGCTTAGATTCTATTTTTCATACATAATTATGATTAGATTCGATCACAAACTAATTGTCAAAAATGGATTCCCTGATTATGGACGACTCAAACAATGGTCAATCAGTTGTCACGATCACTGGCCACCCAAGTGCAATTTGGCTAATTTAAAAAAAAAAAAAGAAGTGAATATGTACTAAACAAAGCATCTATAGAGTATTACAAAACAGAAAATTAATTATGGATGCCCAAACCTTACTCACATACAATTTGTTAAACTTTTTGGGCCTTCCAAACAAAGTTACCCGCACAGTTCTCTCTCTCTCTCTCTCTCTATATATATATATATATAGAATAACAAATAAAAAGGAAGTACAGACAAAGAAGACTTGGCTCCCTGATTATGGACGCTTACAAGCATGAAAAAGGGATGTATAAAAGCCAAACAAAGAGCACAATGATGCACAAACACTGGTCGGCTGGCCTTAAAGCCCGGAACCCATATGAAACCTTATCTCCAACATCACCCCACCCCCCACCCATCATTGCCAACTTCTACGCTCCATAATCAACCTCGCCAAGAATCAAATGCCCATCAAGCCAAATCATTGGTGGAACCTATATGCCTAACCTTGTCGGCTCCACGTTGACAGTCCACGTGTCGCCGCTCGGTTCGCAACACGTAGGTATTGCATGACAAAGAATCAACAATGGTGTGCATTTTGCTCTTTCAAACCCCACTAGCTAGTCCCATTTGAGGGAAAGGAGAACCTCTGCTAGTGCTATTCAGCATCATTTGTTTATTAACTTTTCCTATGTTTCTTTGATTTGTCTTTTTTGGGATAATGCAGGATCAACAAAATATTAGCCATCACTAACATTCATTATTATTCCTAATCATATGTTGTTGGTTTTGTCCCACTGTGTCAAAGTCAATGCCTATCCATTCACGCTAGAAAACTTGTCAATGAAGGTTTAAATAATCCATTAAACAACTTTTCATGGCCAAACAGCCGACGGAAAAAATTCTATTGCTTAAATTTGTTTACTAAATCTTATATTCTAAATAATGTGTTAAAATCTTATGAATATTTGTTGTAGTTAGTATACCCCACTGATTCGACCACTCACATTAATTTGGGATACAAAATTTAAAAAATAATTTGATAAACATAACATTGCTCAATAGCCGAACCAAGTGAAGATGAATACGTCTACCAATGTAAAAAGAAGCCTCATTAATTATGTGTCATGTATATTATTGTGTATAATCCAATCATCTTATATTGGAGAGTAAAATATTCAATAAAGTAATAATAGCACATTATCACTATCCGGTGATATCACCAATAAAAATAATCGTATATAATTAATAAACTCTACTAATCCAACATGATATTTATTCAATATGAAAATCATTGATATTTTCTTCTTGTGTAGAATGGAGCGTGAGTGAGTAAAACCGGAACAAAGATACTAATGGCTTTGTTAATTCTTAAAATAGAAAAGTAATTGAGAAAAGAGAGAAAAATGTTCTCTGAAATATTATTAAAAAATACCAAAGATGCTGTATAGTTCTATGACCCAATATAAATAAGAAACCATATGATGCCTAAATTACGTAAAAAAAACTAGGTGAAATTATAAAAATACCCACAATAGAGAAATAAAACAAAAAAGAGTGTAAATAGTAGTATAAATTTCGTTTTGGCTTACAAATGACTAGACTACATATATTTCTTAAACCTCGCCAAGGGCCCTTCGCATTGGAGTCTTGTGCATTTTTCTGACGTAGTAGTGGGGATCAGCCCTGATCAATGTCACTTCCGATAATCTTGATCTATTATGTAGTCTTTTGCTACA